AGTCAGTAAATAACTGTAGGAAGCCATAGACGGAGACGGAAAAGGTAGGTAGAAGCAGAGGTGGTATCAAGAATATAGGGTCGACCGAGAGCAGCTGGACCCTTTGTTCGGATCTTCAAAAATCTCGACAGTTCCAAGTCCTACGAGCAGGTAAAGTTACCCCTGTGTCGCGGCGTTGACCGCGAGCACAGGTGGTCTCTTCTCCGAGAGCTCATCCTCTCTCTCACTCCCCCGCCCTCTTTCGATCCAAAGGTGTCTCTGTAAAAATCTTCCGCAGCGATATTTTCGAAACTAAGCGAAGAGAGTCTCTACTTAAAACACCTCGGTCGAATCATATTCGGTTCGAATCTCGAGATAAGCCATATTAACTGGCTCTGTCTTAGTTGGAACGATAGAGAATGATCGTGGTCGAGGCAAACTTGCGAAATGTAACGTCTCGAATGACGAATCGCCTTCGTTCCTTCCATACAGGAGCTGTGTGTCGATGATCCTCGGTATCTATTTCTCAGTCGTTGTAACGTTAGTTTGAATGGCGAATGGAATGGCGAGAGGTCGACAGCTTTTTCAACCGGTTGAGAACGAATAGGAAAGAATAATACTCGTTGAATATCAGGAAAGAGTTATTCTTCGATCCCTTCTCGAACGAGCTAACGCTCGTTACATCGTCGCTCTCGTTTCGTCTCATAAATATTTTTACATCGTAATTGGCATTTACGTAACGTTCTGCTACCGTCGAGATGTTTGCAATTAAGTGACAGGGCGTGTTTAACGTCGAGACTTTATGCATACGTTTCGTTCTAAGGAAAAGCGAAGAATCTTTTCTATTTGACGTGAAAAGATAAAGTGCATATAGATAAATTAATAAAACAAAATGTTATCCGACAGTGCATTGTAGTAGTAATATTGCGTTTCGAAAGAAAATGTCTCTTGCTACCTCTCTTCTCTAAGAAAATGCGTTCTAACTTTTCTTATCGGCTCATTCCTTATCGGCGCACACATATTTGCATCTCTCGTTCCACCTTCCAAGAAGAACATATTTGCTTTGTCTCAGATGCCGACGCAGCAACAGCTCCTTTCCTTGGCAAGAAGCGAAAGAGAATCGTCGATGGACTTTGGCACTCGTAGATCGCTTTACCAATTACCTTCCCCGTTGAAGCGCTATCGCGTTTAAAATTACGTTGGTCGTTCGTTTAACGAAACATAATCAGCATTTTTAACTACGCGTTTGCGTTGACGATGATTAAATTTTCCATTTCGTTGGAAAAAAATATTTTTCCATCGGATTGAATACGATTTTTTTATTAATTTTCAAACAATAGACGGCGAGGATTATAAACGAAATACATATTACGTAAAAGACCTATCGTTAGTTTAAGAGCGAAATTGTAGATGTATACGATTTATGTAATGTTTACTCGATAATCAATGACAATGTTAACGAATACTAGAGACTAGAATACAAATACGAGGATCGTATTGTGGTCCTCGTATAAATAAACGTTACGTAGATCGTAATTTAGGCATTATGGCATTTTGAGACTGGTCAACGAGTTACGGTCTCGTATTAATTTCTATGATCCGTATGTCTCTTCCAGTCCCGACGACGAACTCAACAATAGAGTAATAGTGGCGGAATGCGCAATTCAATGTTCAACTCGCGAAGAACCGGCTCTTCCACTCTGTATTCATTTCCTCGCAAACGTTGAAGAGAGCCAACCTCGATGATCATCACCGATTTTGATCATCTTCGAGATTGAAAGAAAATCGTCTAGCCTCGAAAAGAACGCGAAGGGATAATTATCTTTCGAAAGCTTCCGAATTGAGTTTCATAATTGAGAAAAAGAGAGGAGAAAAGAAAAAAAAATTCGAGTTCTTTAGAAAGATGGAAAGGTCAGGTAACGACCTAAGAGTATATACGGCGGAGAGATAAAGAAAAGAAAAAAGGAAATACAGTGGCCACTGTCACTCGAGGCCTTTGGAATTCTTTCGCTTTAAAGGAAAACACAGTCGCTCGGTTGGCGCCGACTGTCTGAGTTTGACTCGCAAGCCGATACACGACGTGACGAGCTGATCGGAAACGATCGAAAGATTTGAAAATTTCTTCTTCTCCGTCGAACGAAACGAAAAGGAATTATTAGAAATAATACCAGAATTTCGTTGTGTAAAGAGATAATGATCTTATTCGTTTTCGAAGAATTTCTCTAGTTTCGAATAAGTATAATTATTTATTTTTACACAACAATTACGTATACATATTGAACGGACGATGATAAATTTTGTACGATGGTATATACAATGGAAAGGTTTATGACGACGACACCTTGACCGTCATTCCTCGCGAGCTCGACCGATTTCGCAATCTCAATCCCGGTTGTGTTGAGTTGCAGGAGGAACTTTGACTGCGCTTTCCACGCTTAAAAATAGATCAACGCTCTCTGGACACTGACCTTGCTATTGCGTAATCAACTCGATAGTGTCCATCTAAGGGCAAGGAATTTATCTTAAAACGTATTGACGCTGACGTCAATAAAATAAATAGCACAAATAAAGCGTCGATTTTAAGGACGCGAATCGTATATCTCCCTTCGTGTACCACGTGCGTGAAATAATCGTTTTGCCAGCGAGAACGATGACAAGGCATATAAGGCCAATGAAAAATCATGAAAGAACATTGCCGAGTCAAAAATAGATTTATTCTATGAAGATATTAATATTTATTTTTGATAAAAATAAGTATATTAGCTTTTTATCGAGACAAATTTATTAAATGTCAGAAGATGTCAAAGGTTCCTTTCTATATCTTAGGCGTTATTCACGTCTTCGTACTAGACATTGAAACGTTTTTATTATTTCTACGCACATTCGCGATCCTGTACCATGCTCGCGTATAATAATGCAAGAGTTATTCGCGTGATCGAGTTGTCACGTGTGAAACAATTGATAATCGAAGAGTGTCTCGTTAGAGAGTATCGACGATCGACACCTTGGCGAATAACCGAACCTTGTGTCTCACTCGTTGTTATTCCTCGACTAAGAACATTTTTATGTTATATCTTTATTGGAAGAAGGAAAAATATCGGGGAACATTCGATAATTTAATCTCGGCAACAGGAAAATTAGTTCGAGGAAATGGTAATGAAAATATTTATAAACGTTTTGTCATCGATCAACCAAGCATGGAAAGAAGGAAGGAAAAAGAAAAAGTGAAAACCTACAACGCTGCGCGATTTCTATATCGTGTTGTCTCTCGATAAGGCACGGATTTCACATCTTTTTGCAATATTGGAGAATTATTATTTTTTATCGGTATTAAAAGTCGAGCAATGGGGAAAAAAAAAAATTGTAAACGTCTGTTCGAAAATCATATACAGACAAAAGATAAAATTTGATCGCGCTACAAATTCCATCGTCGACGCAAAAATATATTAATAGCTTCTTATCCGCCGTACCGTTCGACTGGCCGCATCGGCGTCGATGATGTGTACTTTTGTGTCGACGCAAAATCATTTGTGGATTTTCACCCACATTCCTTTCTTTCCGAATATCGACGAATCGATTTACCGGGGTAAACGTATCAACGACGCGATGCTATTATTCAAATGATTTGTCTGTCTAGACTTCGCTATGAAATCGTTAGGAAACATTGGGAGAGAACAAAAAGGAAAAAAGATTGGGCAAAGGAGGACACCTTGTATAAGATAAGAAATTGGAAAGATTGTTCGAAAAAGAAGGGCGTATGAATTGAAACGATAAGATAAGGGACGCGTCAGTAGGTGCCCTGGTTATTTCCTAGCCGTAAAAATATCCTTTCTTGGCGTCGCCAAGGAAGAAACGTAGTCCTCGGGGTCGGCCGAGGCCATTTCGAAGAAACGACCTCTACCGATCTGACCAACCACAATCGATTTCTCGATCGGTCCTCAACCTACTAACTAAGCCCCATGATTTTTTATCTAGCTACGTTCTATTTCGACTCACCTTTTTTTCCCCGATCCACTCGAAGGACGTTTCCTTCTATTTTTTTCTTTTTCTTTTTTCTCCTCCGAGAGATTCACACTTTACACGGATCACAATCGAAGAAGAGGAAGCGTGGGAACGCTATAATGGGACGATCGTTTCGCGCTTACGGTGCAGGAATTTCTGAACTACGTATAGCTTCGTGCTCGGGGACGGCTGCAGTAGGTCGAGGAGTGGGGGACGGCAGGGCCCAGGGTCGAACGTCCGATTGGTCAAAAGCGAAAGAGCCACAGGTAAAAATTCAGGTGACAGGTAAGTAGCGCAGAGTCCTCTGACGGTGAAACACTTGAAACGTTTGAAATGCTCGCGCGAGACAACTTGAAAAATTTACTTCTCGTTGATTGTTTTCCTTTCTGCGAGAATTTTGGCGTGGGCGTGGATATTATCGTTGCGCGACACGTATCTTCGTTTTTTTTCTCTTCGAGTTTGATCTACGTCTATCGACTATCAAAAGATACGCATTGACCGAGCTCGACTGTTTCTACGTTCGATTCGCGCCAATCTATTTAACTGCAACATCACGAAAAGGTCATCACATTTTGCCAGGTGCAATGGTTTTCCTTCTTGCTAAGAAATAACGTAGAAATTCTCTATTCGTTATTGCACCACTTGCGGCCAGACGTTCGAACTACATTAGGCTGTATCGAAAGATGCGTCGATAAGGTAGAGATTTTCTTATAAGATTCATTTTACCGATAGATCTTTACGAAGTTATCTCATACATATAAAACTCTTTTATTTTATACCTTTATTACGCCGTTTAATGAAGATTTCTATAACAAATTCGCAGACAAGGATTTTTTTTTGCTCGCTAATTTTACGATATTAATAAAAAGATTCATCCTTTGGCACAATATATGCAATAAACTCTTAATAAATATATTGCGTATATAAATAAGCTGTAAACTGATTGCTCCTTTAAATTATTAAATATATTTATGCATTTTTATATATATATATATATATATATATGTATGTATGTATATGAATATTTAATATCTTTATGTACTCTATGACTGGAATACCTCGACATATATCACATCCTATATTGACTATCGTGTTGCAGGCTGGACTTTAAAGTTTCGTTTATCGTCCTGCATGACCTTTGTCCCTTGACAAGAAAGACTAAATCACGCACGTCATCTTATTGCTCGATTAGGTGTTTTCCTTTTGACTAGAAAATACTTCTTATTCTTAATTATTAATACTTTCGCTAACTTTCGTCTTAAGGCTATCAACGATAGTATGATCCAACCCTCGATGTGCTCTCGATTATACTTTAACAATTTTTGAACGAATATCGTTGAAAAATTACCTGCGCTTATCTAAATCGAAATCGAAGAGAAATTATAAATCTTCTCTTGCGAGATTTTACGTTAGAGTTATTCGTCCAACGGATTAAAACTTATCATCTAATACTTTCGTTCGCTTAATCCTTAATCCTATATTATATAGTTGCTACTTTTTCAATTTATATTTCTATTAAGAGATCAACTTGTTCGCGCGAGTCGAAAGATCATTTCGATATATCAAAACGAAATCTAATTTATATATAGAATTTTGTCTCGTTCGACCAATGATCGCACCTATCAATGTATGAAATATGTCTATGAAAGAGTCGAGGAAAATTTTAAAAAAATATTAATTCGATTCTCCACTGGCAACGGTAGCGTCGGTCGGTGGACCGCCTGACGTTACAACTTGTGGATCACCCGCAGGAAGTCCTTGCATTTCCTGTACGCCTTGAAACAATTTTCCAGGGAATCCTTGAAGAAGATCGTAGGAGACAGGCGTAGGTGGTAAAGCCGTGGTATGAGCATGGGGCGATTGCAAGACGGCTATTACTCTTCTTAACTCTTCTAACGCGTTTCCTAAAATTTCCATATTCATTTGGTCTCGCATCTTGGTTATCAAAAAGGGAATATATAAATCGTCTCTCACTATTGCTTTTGTCATACGTATGTACAATAAATTAATATAATAAATGTCATTTGTTTTTGATCGATTGGAAAAGTATTACCCTGCATCAGAATATAATTTTTCGCCAGAAGAAGGGTGGCGATTTTTGAAAGTTTCCTTACGGACGGACTATGAGCATATGGAATGACCGAACGAAGTTCATCCAGAGCGTCGTTCAAATCGTGCATTCTTCTGCGTTCCCTCGCATTTATATTCAATCGAACGCTTTTCCCTTGACGAGTGGTCTTTGATTTTGGCGGACAATTGAGTCTGGATGCTCCTGGTCTATAGCAAAAAAAAAAAAAAAAAAAAAAAAAAAAATACAAAAAACAAAAAAAAAGAAAAAGTAAAAAACCATGGAAAAAGAAGTCTCTCGATTCGTTACCTCTCGTGATCGGGCCTATTTTCGTCGGACAAAGCGCTCGACGAAGCGTGTGGTTGTGGTTGCTGTTGAAAATAAAATCCACCAAGACCTACGGTCCCCAAAGGAGTCCTTCGTCCTGGAGCAGCCGCCGCAGCCGCAGCCGCTGCTGCCGCAGCTGCAGCCGCCGCCGCCGATGCAGGATGTTCGGTGGTCGAGTAACTCGTTGGTGGGCCGGAAACACTCGGATGAGATACTCCCGGTGTGGAGTACATAGACTCGAGGGATGCTGCCGACGGTGGAGCCAATGGATGCTGTTAAACGTCGATGCATCAGACAAGAATACATAGAATGTATTAAACGAGAGAATGTATTAAACTCTTCTCAACTTACAGCAGCACGATGTTCCCAAGCCCAGGTAGGATGAGACGCAGAACGTTGCCAGGATCCTTGCTGTAAATGAGCTTCGGAAGGTATACTTTCTCTACGGTCATCGTCCTCGGTCGAACTACTCTCCCCGTCGTACGACCTCATCTCTCCGAAGAGCCCCGAGACTTTCCTCGATCTTGAATTGATGAATATTTTTATCTACAAATTCACGTCCGTATAACTTAACACAATTAACGAATCATTGAAACGCGACCTGACGTGATCGATAAAATACTATTATACTTACCGACTATTTTTCTTTTCGCCTTCCCGTCATGTGCGACCGCGCAGGATCCTCGAACTCTTCTTATGTCACGAGAAGAAAGTCAGCAACATTTTTTCCGTACGAGAGCGTAGTAAGCCATCTTAACGCAAAATGATATCTTTACTTTCTGTCTCTCTTTCTCTCTCTCTCTCTCTCTCTCTCTCTCTCTCTCTCTCTCTTTCTCTCTCCTCTCTCTTTCTCTCTCTCTCTTCTAGAAAATAAAACGTAGGATGGAACCCCTTAAAAATATTCTTTTAGATTATCATGTCCTTTTATGATAATGTCACTCATCTCGACTGTAATCAACGGCCCAAATCACTGCCATTTTATTTTCGTCGAAGGACACGCGACAGCCCTGCTTGGATCTTCAATAAAAATATCTTTCTCTCTCTCCCTCTCTCTCTCTCTCTCTCTCTCGATTTTATTTGATTTCTATTTTTATCTATGAGATCGTACGACCGCTTTTCCCATTACGATTCTCCAAAAGGATAATTTTCGATAGGATAATTTTCTTTTTTAACGAAATTATTCTGCGTAAACGTAGCGATATCGTTTCCGCGAGCACGCACGCGTTTATTGTTTGGAACGTCCTGCGCAGAGATTGCATCCAAAACTACCCCGTTTTAGTTCGTCGATTCTCCTGAAGAGAGAATCAGAGTCGGAAGATGCTGCACTGGACCAATACCTGGCGAACTCTGTCGTATGTTTGTGCAACTTTCAAGGTCGCGAAACATCTGTCACATTTACCCTTTGGATACATGGATGGAAAAAAAAATTCGATCCAAAGGATTCCCGCCTTTTAATTTCGAAAGAGAAGTTTCCAAAAATCGATCCATTTTGTTCTTTCCTTCGAAACAAGTTTCAAATTAAATTTCTTACGTAGAGCATTGACGTCTCAACATTTTCATAGGATCAAAGATATAAATGTTAATACATTCGTACGATAAAAAATAACTCGTCGAGTCAGGTTCGACGTAAAATCGCTATAAGTCGATACTTATCATTGAACTTTAAATTTTAATCCTTTGTGAAATCTTTCAATTTTATCGAAAGAATTATCAAAGTTACTCGAGTTACTGATAGTTCGTAAAGGTATTTAATATTGGGAAACAGGATATAGAACGACGTGCTGTAACATGACATATCAATTTGCAGGAACGATGTAGGGCTAGTAGAGAAGACAGTTGTAACGAGGACGACGAACGGATCGACAGCTGACGCATTCCGTTCTGCGTTATACCTGATCGCCTCGTCGGCATAATAATGCTGGAATCAAAACCGACGACGGGTCTCGCGTTAAACCAAGCCATATTGCTCGTTGCATCTGTCGCGTACGAGACGGTCGAGGGTTCGTCATTCGCAATGAGTACGTTCTATGATATTTCCTTGTTGCAGAGCAAAACTTTTTTACAATTCTATTTTTACCTTATCAGCATCATCAATTTTATTAGAATTCAAGTAGTACTCAAGAAACTATTCGTTATCAGTCATTTTAATCACGAAGAAGCTCAAGAGAACATAATTTAAAATTTCGTGAAACTTTATCTCTTGCTTGTTCCACAACACGACAACGATCGTTTATAAGATTTTCGTTATTATATCAAAAGAAGAGGTGGCCGAATAATCGTGAGGAAGGCAGGGAAAGAAAAAAGGGCTGGATTAAGGGTAAAGAAAAGAAAGAGAGAGAGAGAGCTGCTCGAAGCCAATTGTAACGTAACATACAGGGTACGATGGCGTGGTGGCCCATGTGGGAGGAGAAGAACCGCGAGCAACGTCGCGTACCTAAACGCGAAGGTGGAGACTGCTAGCCTTCACGTAGGACGACCAAGTAGGGGTTGGCTTATCGTGTTTCCTCTCTCTCTCTCTCTCTCTCTCTCTCTCTCTCTCTTCCTCCTGGAGACGAGATTATTTCCGCAAAACCAAAAGAAAAACCGCGTATCGAAGGATTCTGGAAGGGGCAATTCTGGAAAAAGTATATAACGCGTTTGTGCATGACTTGTGCGTGTAGGTGTGGGTGTGATTTTTCTTGGATAGTATGCGTGTCTTTTGCGTACGCTTTGCGTTTAACACCTCTAGATCGACCTATGTAGGAGAGAGAGTCGTTGATAAAGCGTTGGGAAAGATGGAAAGAAGAGAAGATAACGAAACGAGAGAGTGTGAGAGAAAGAGAGAGAAGGGTGGTTCGGGGGTGGTTTTCGGTACGAAGGGTTGGTCCGACCGCTGGAAAGTCCTGAGGGATGAGGGACGGAGTTGCCAAGGCAACGCTCTGCCAGCCTCGGCTTACTTTAGCTCCGCTCGTGCACTCGGATCAATACAGCATCACCGTGAGTTCCCGGACCAAACACACCCCCTCACCGGGCAACTCACCGAACGGCAACAGCTCTCTTTCTCTCTCGCTCTCACCCTTATATTCCTCCACCAAGCCCAGCCACAGACCCCTCTATTTTTCTCTCTTTCTCTGTCTACCTTTCTTCCTCACTTTTTCTCACTTTAGTGCGAGTCTACGCGTGTATGCTCTTTCCTTTTTCATTCTAAGTGCTTTTCTCTCTCCACTCCCCCCCCCTTCTCTCTCTCTCTCTCTTGAATCTTCCTGTACTCCCTTCAACGTTCTGCCCACGAAGCGAGGTCTAGGTACAGTGGTCGCAAAAATTATAACGACATTCTCGATGGGTCACTGTCGAAATCATTGTGGATATAATTAGTCAAGGATCTAACGTGTTATAATATCAGTCATATGAACGGCCTTTAAAAATATTTTTAATAAATTCAGGATAATTATTTAAGAGTCATTCTTAGTTGGGCATTAAGCGTTAGGTCGTATCTCGATGTACGAGTATCATGTAAATTCGATCGTGCGGATTTTACTTTTATCCCGTTAAAGTTTCTCTCGATCGACGACGTATTAATATTATATCCAATGGATTCTATCGAACTTCTTCGTTTCGTCCCTTCCTATAAATTTATTCGCTAATTTCGATATTTCCACTCGAGACCGCATATTAAAATCCTTTTCGTTGCGTTAATAAACATATTCTACAAATTTAAACACGATATTACGGTAAGATGTAAAATAGATTTACAAAAGCTTTAGAGTATGATCGATCGTTCTTTTTAATTTAAAAAAATGTCCCGTGAGTTGGGAGCATCTTTTTTTAAAAGAGCTGATATTCCGTTCGATAGAACAACGATAAGAAAAAGGGAACGAACGAAGAACGGGCGGTCCAACTTTCCGAGAAAAGGACAGAAGATCGTAACGGATGTTGGAAGCTTTAATCAATGATACCAGGCTGATAACCCATCTTCTCTTTGTTGCTTTAATTACGTGTTTTTTCTCTCTTCCTTTTTTTTTTTATCAAAATCATTTTTCCTTCGCTGCCTGTAGATATCTCTATGAGATAATATTTTCATACTTTATATCATCTATTTTCATTTATTTCTCGAATATGACACAATTTAAATAAACTTCAAATTGGATCGTCGATCGTGACAACGTCGTTATTTATAATCGACATAGCGTATCTTGCTAGTACGAGTGTCAATAACTGATCCGACCTAACATTAGAGAGATCGATCGTTGTCATATGGAAAGGGAAAACGACTTGACATTCGCAATATCGTCCATCGACAAAATCGAAAAATGGCTACGACGTAAAACGGGAGAATTACTAATTAATGCCAAATATATATTCTCTATACCTTTTCGTCGTTATAGTCGCGCTCGTATTCTTGTTTTCCTTTTTTTGCTCGGTGTAACAGCAGAACGTGCATTCTTCTCGTGCGTAAAAGCGCCATGGAAAGGGACGAGTAACCGGGAGGTGGAGAAGCGAGAATACGAGAGCGAGCGAGCACGAGCTTATCGTGTAAAGGTAGGAAGAGAAGGAGAAAACGAGGGACAAAGATAGAGAAAACAGAAAGAGAGGTGGAACGAGAAGCTCGAAAGGACAAAGAGACGTGAGGGAAGGAAAGAAGAGTCGGTAGCGAGAAAGACCGAGAGAGAGAGGAAAGAGAGAGTGGAGGGGGAGAGAGAGGAAAAGAAACGGAGAGATGTAGCGGGCAGAAATGAAATTTAATAAAATTTCAAGCCCGTTGGACGGTCCATAGAAAGAGAGAGAAAAAGAGAGAGAAACATAGAGAGAGAGAGAGAGAGAGAGAGAGAGACAGAGAGAGAGAGAGAGAGAGAGCGGGAGAGAGAGCGAGAAAGAGCGAAAGATAGAGAGGAGAGCGGCCGGGTCTGTTGGCGGTCACCATGGAGACGCAGCTTCCCGCACCCTGTGACGTCACTGCTCCATCGATCTGCGACCCCTCTATGGTTATCGCTACCACCGTAGCCGACAGCCACCGCGGCCGTTCTCTCCCTTTCTCATCACTGCTTCCAGTGGTGGTGTCTATGGAACGAGCTTTTCGCGTCTCCTCTCGTTGGAACGCCAACTACTCTCTTTCTCTCTTACTCACGCTCATTTACTCTCCCTCTCTTTCTTACACAACCTTACACTTACTCTCTTTCCCTTTCTCTCTCACGTATCCTCGCAAGTAATCGGTAGGTACGGTAGTAGGCAGGCGTACATACAACTAAGTGTGATCCTACTGTGTGAGTGTGCGCTCGCGCGCGAGTACTCACGCAGGAATCGGTAGTACGCACGGGGAAAGTGAGTAACCTTGCTGCTGGTGCCGGCGCTGGATGGCCCGTTGCCGCATATACTCCACCTTCCTAGTCCGTGTTAACCGACAGGTGAGGGTGGAGTCGAGAAAAACAGAGAGAGAGAGAGAGAGAGAGAGAAAAGTTGGTCCCCCTCTCCCAGACTCCTGCTAGAGGAGCACCAGCCAACATCGGAGAAAGCAGCCCTTATTTCTCCGATTCGTTCGATGCACCCTTGCCGGATCGCATTATCGATCGATGGATGGGTGCGAAACGAACGAAAGGGCTCCACCACCCTCCGAACCATCCCCTTTTTGCCTTCTTCTATTTTCTCTTCTCTTTTCTCTTCTCTTTTCTTCTTGCGTTCTCGTTATGAAACCTCGCGTCTTCTATCTCTTCGTCTTCTTTCTCTTTTTTTAGCCATCTCCTTATTTTCTGATTTTCGTCGTTTAATTAAATCCCCACATTCTAAAACGAGACGACTGCTATTCCGTTATAAAGTGTATAGCGGTGTTGGTGAATTTCTTTTCGACGCCAACGAGATGCTCGCGCAAACTCGTCAGAAAAAGAAAGAGCGAGAGAGAGAGAGAGAGAGAGGGAGAGAGAGAGAGAGAGAGAGAGAGAGAGTAATGAGAAACGCGCAGAGATCGAGGATGTTTTCGAGAATCAAATTAAACTACGGGATATCAGGGATGTTTAGACGGAATGAAACCCGATATTGAAGAACGGCTATTCTCTGTGACCTCGCCCTCTCGGAAGCTCATTATCAAGAATGTTTCTTATCGTTATTACGTATGTATATAACGTTGCAAGAGAAGAAAGGAGATAACTTCTCATTGTTACAAATAAAGCTTCCTTCGCAATAACTGCGGAAATTAAGAAAGATGCAAATCAAATTGAATAATAATAAATATGTTTAAATCTAATAAAATTGT